CACACACACACACACACACACACACACAGAGCATAAAGCAGGAGAGAGAATGGGGAGAAAAACTGTGAAAAGGGAAAAAGAGAGATGGAGAGAGTGTCTGGATGTGTGAGAGAAAGAGAGAGCGAGAGATGGAGAGAAAGCATCGGGTACAACAATGAGTCTGCTAACCCCTCCCCCATCCCATCCAGCGCTACAGTGGTCCACAGTCCTGACAATGGGGTCTCCCCTCCACACAGACACACAGTCTCAGCCAATCAAACAAGATGAACTCTAACGACCCAAAGGAATGTGACAAAGTCCTGCTCTGTCACTGGGATGACATCTAAATGAGTGGTCCAGGAATAGACGACGAGAAACACATAAGCTTTGTCTAGGTTTGGTAAGAAGTTCTGTACATAAAAACGCTAATTAAAAAGTGCATCTTTGGTTAGTCAGATGAGAAAAGGGGTCACCAGTTTGGTCAGTGAGATCCGATGGTCCTCTCCAGACCACTTGGGTGATGACAGCTCGTTTGAAAGGCCATTTCTCTGCTAAAATTCATCGCATTCAAACCAACCTCTTGGCGAGTACCATAACATTCCCGTTACTCCCCCCCTCCCTCCTCCAGCTCCAGATAAACGGGAGGAAAAATAATTCATGAACAGCCCGAGAGGATGACTGCTGCAGTGACAATGCGATACCCTCATATGGTGACTGGCCAAGCTCTCTCTCTCACCTTGAAATTGCTGGAGTTCACCCATCCCGTCAGCTCGTCTATGGTCTTATCCAGCCGGGGTTTGTCCTGCTCCACGTCCGGGGAGCGGTTCGGGTCGTTGAGGAAGTCAACGAGGTCCTGGCCCACCTGCAACCTACGGGTGACATCTTTCTGCAGCACCTGCTGGTAAAAATAGTCCATGTTGTCATGATCCTCCATCGGGCACTCAGTGCCGTGTGGCCAGCCACAGGAGCCGGCCGAAGACGAGAGACAGCGGTCGGGGAGACGATGCTAGCTGAAGGTCTGTGCAGGGGCAGAGAGACTGTGTGTCTGACTGATGTTTGATCATCAACATGCAACCCCTTATAGAAAATCCTGGTTACTGTACCGCACAAATCACCCCTCTGCTCGAATGAAAAAGCTCCACTTTGTACGACAAAGACGTAGCTCGCTAGCTTCCTTATTATACAATGTTAGCTCCGAGGGTTGAATTAAAACTTCGAGAAAGTTCAGAAAACGTGGATTTTTGGTGGACCCGAGCAGGTTTCTTCAGCGTATCAACATCAAAACAAGCCAGCAAACCCTTGGTTGGCTAATTGTTATGCTAACAAAAATAGCACCTAGCTAGTTAGCACAGCGACCCAAACAAGGATGATCTGCCTCCCATCAGCTAGCTCAGCTAGCTATCGTTAGTCTCCCGCAGGCCTAGCGCCTGGCTCCACTTCGCTTTTTTTATTCCATGACCACTAGAAAGTCCGCTGGTCTTTCAGCTGTCGGCTCCTTAAAGCGGTAAAATTTGCGCCAAACTTCCACAATAAGGGCTCAGCTCCAGTCCCGCACTAACTGGTTTCACTTTAATCCGGTATATAATCGCGGCTGCCGCTAAACCCGTTTGAGAGGCGCTGAAAGCTTGCGCGCTGCCGGTGACTGCAATCCACCAGGAGGAGCAACCGATCAACGATCAGGCCGATGGGTCCTCGGGCACCGCACAGCTAGCCAGCATAATGCCTGATGTAAAATTACAAATTATCAGATGTGCTATGTGGACCTCACTTGTGCTTAAATAAAGACATACATACACTAAATAAGTAAAAACCTGAAGTATGTGTTCATCCCTTCTGACTAGATAACGTATGTCTTTCTGTAAAAGAGTCATGAATCAAACAAACCGCACTCTGTATGTGGGCGTGTCTGCTGTCTACACGGCTCTTGGTTGACATCTAGCGGTTTAACTACGGTGTGGCCTGTTCAGCTTGCCGCAGTTTAATATTCATTACTCTTTAGATACTAGGACACAAAATCTTACACTGGAGAGACAAAGCACATTTACTATTAGTCACTTTATTTATTCATTTGTTTATTTTTTTTTCTCATTATTTCTTTATTTTCTTAAACATAAAACTGTTATAACAGCTGTTAAGAGAGGGCATTAGTATCACAGCCAGTCAAGTCAGCTATGTATCCATCTGAGTCTTTCTTCATCTTTCCGTCTGCTCTCGTTGTTTCAGTCCTGTGCATTGTCCTGCCAATCTCCCCAGTCTTTGAGCACTTGGCACTACACAACACTTGCCAGTCTCTTGTTTAGCGTGGAGATGTGAGCTGCTTCTGTTTGTTGTATCTTCAGTGCTTTGAGTAGTAATATTTCAAGCCCAATACATGTGTTACTCTGCATGGCAATACATCCTGTTGATCAGAGGGAGTGTCAGTATACAGTGAAATAAACTGTTGTCTCTGGCGCTTTTCAGTCACTGTATTCTTGTTGTCACATATGTTTTCTAGAATTGGATGAGTGGGAATTTGTCTCTGATCAATCTAATAGATTAGACTGGCTCACCAGATCTATGTTAAATGCTATTTCTAAATCATTTCATGTTTTATCTCATGTGCTGCTTTATTAAGCGAGTGGAGTACTGAATACAGACAATTCTTTATATCCTACATCATCAGTAAATTGCCAAAACTTCACTGAATTATCTTTCAAATACATAAATTCATCTGATTGTCCAAAAAGTTGAAGTGCCTTTGCTCACATTCTCAAAACTATTATCTCAGCTTTAAGCAAATTCCCATTTCTATTTGAAGCAAGGTTGCACCAACATTATCCCTGATTGATATCCAAATACACACAACAATAAATTTGAATAATGGACTTCACAGTCCAGATAAAATAGTGGGGACACCACAGTTGTATCAGTGTTACTAAACTCACTCTGAATAGTAGGGAGACTGGAAACCTACTGATGTAAACAAGCTTGTCTGTGGTGCTAACCTAATCCAAGATGTAAACAAATGCTTAAGTGGTCAAATAGGAGCTAGTGCACAGGGCTACTGACAGGATTGGATCAGGGCCAACATAAACACGTAGAACACAGGAGAGGCCACTCATCCCAGCAGCATACAGAGTCCACGTAACACTATTAGACGCTGAGGGTCAGAATCATAGGTCTTATTTTGTCATTAACAACAGCAGTTGCTTCTTTTCCACTTCAAAAACAACGACAAAGATATCTCCCTCTCCGGATAGACAGGCATGGACAATTACAATAAGCGCTGAAAAAAAAAAAGAAAAGAAAAGAAAATTTCCCCCAAATTTTGAGTGAATTGCCAGAAGTGTTATTTTTTCCTTTGCAAAACATTCTCTGTACAAACATAATCTAAATCTCAAAAAAAGTTTATCAGATGCACAAATATGTCACATGTCCCATTCTGTACTTCCTGTTTTTTTTTCTCTTTCACACTTGAGTTGAGCTGGCTGTTCCAAAGCTTCACTGAAGATCACCATTTCCCACAAGCCAGCTATCCTCTCCCTCCTTGCTGCGTGTTTATTGGTCAAAGCAGAATAAAATCACAGGATGGTCACGTAGAGGTGTCATGTGATTGGTTGAGATGATACTCCACAGAGTGCAAATTGTTGTCCAAGTTGACAACATTGTCATTTTTTTTCTTTTAGTTTGAACATGATGCATTGTAGTTCCACTGTTCAGACCCCCCCCATCTCCAGCTGTCCTCTTCACCCACAGGTGGGGGGGTCAGAGGTGTGAGGAGCAGGATGGATTGGAGAACCTGTTTCTGTCTTTACAGTGAGAGAGAGAGAGAGCGAGAGTGCGAGAGAGAGAGAGAGAGAGAGAGAGAGAGAGAGAGAGAGAG